AAAATAATGGTGGCCACACAAAATATTGACACTTTGGGCCCAATTTGGATATTTTCACTTAGGGATGTACTCACTTTTGTTGCCAGCCCTCAGAATAACTCAACATACAGCCTTTAATGTTTAGACATTAATGGCTGTGTGTTGAGTTATTTGGAGGGGACAGCAAATTTACACTGTTATACAAGCTGCACACTCACTACTTTACATTGTAGCAAAGAGTCATTTCTTTAGTGTTGTCACATGAAAAAATATAATAAAATATTTACACAAATGTGAGGGGTGTAATCACTTATGTGAGATACTGTATTTGTGATTATAGGACTGAAAGCTTGTCCTTCTTTAATTCTATAACATAACTCCAAGCAAGTATTGGAGAAAGAAATGGTTAGCTAGTAGTGTGACATTTTCACACAAAAAACAGCACTTTTTGTGTCTATCAATTTTACAGTCACTGGAAATTAGCTTTCATATTAATTTCACACATGCTTACATTTTTTTCTTCGTAAATAAAACAGTTATGATCATGGTTATTTGAAGATATAAAGGGGCAGCCATTTACATGTTGATGATATTAATTTTATAAATACCACATGCAATATAAAGAGTAACTTGTGTTGGAAGCGATTTCTTGTTTAAAACTACACTTTGCATTCAGTGTGTCACTTTGAAGATCAGCATTCAACCAAAATGGTTGAGTAAGACTTACCATTTCCACTGATAGGCTTGTTCAGAAAGACAGAGCAAGCAGATAGTGATGATGTGCACATTCCAGAAACCTACAGCTACCATTCAGAAATGCACATTCCAGAAACCTACAGCTACCATTCAGAAACTAGCTTTCACTGATCTGGCTACAGATAAAAATCTGAAATCTGGTTTGTTGCCATGCCTTAATACATTTGGCACATCTTCACTGCCCTTTTGCACTGCTTGCTGAGATACCCACTAAATTTAATAAACATAACTACATTAGTGTAGTTGACATTTTTGCCAGTTGGTAACCACTCTCCAACAAAGGCTTACATGCATTTGTTATACGAGTAAATTATGAAAACATAGATTGCCCCATTCTGTGTTGATGGATTTACATTCAACAGATAGAAAGTAAGGAAAAAAAAGTAAAACCTATTTCAGAATTAACTTTACTCAACAAAGATACTGATGATGTCAAATAATCTAGCAAAAAAATACCAATTTATCTGACAGTGACAACCAAGATTATTCTGCCTTATCATTGGTAACAAAACATGCTTACATCTTTGAAAGAATAGGAAGATGGAGTTAATTATATTTTAAAAGATTGCAAGATTTGTACTGGAAATCAATAAGGCAGTAGGATAAATAAACAATATTTGGCATTTCTAGATTAGGTCTAGAAATTTAACGCATACAAAAAGTACTAAAAAAACTAAGTCAAACTATCGAAAGAGTTAAATAACCACTTACCCTTAATCATATAAGAATATATATGACAACTGGGGAAAAGGAGTCTCTCCCCTCCCCAATTTTGATTATTTTTCTTTTCTTCTCACATTACCGATATGTCTTTGGATTCAATACCTACTGTGTATAATATTATGCATGATGTACCATATGTTCACTGTTGTGTCATATCCTTGGACTATCAAGGAATCCCTTATCTTCTGTAACCCCTAATAATATTGGATTATCTTTTATTCCATCAGGTTAACATATACTAAACTTCAACTACTGAGTTTTTTTTTTCCCTATAAAATTACTTTAAAAATGTAACAAAAAATGAATATAGTTAACGTAAATGAAGACAACTGGAAACAAATTTTACTAAACATTGGAACTTTATTAAAATCAGCAACAGGACAGAAAAGTCACTTGTGGGATCTGCATTATGTCCATTTGTAAAGCATATTATAACCCCACTGTTTATAGTTGAGACATATGTTTGTGCTAAAAGTACTTTTACATTTATTGATATGCACGCAAAGATTATGCAGGATACTGTGCTATTATAGTATGCTTTCCAAAACTGTATGTAATATTTCAAGTGATATATTGAAAAGCTAATTCAGTATAACTTTAATATATACTAATATATATATATATATATATATATATATATATATATATATATATATATATATATATATATATATATATATATATCTATATATCAATGTCCTTAAGATAATTATGTTACACCAGAGCAGTAATATATGATTAGAAAACTAAATGGTTCCTTTAAAATGCTTTTATTCTATATCTATATACAAATATCTCTTTCTCCTCTATAGCGCCCTTAAAGAGAATCATTCACTATGATGAACTAAGTCAGTAGCCTGAGCTTAATTCTATTCACAATGTTGCAACATTGCATTCTGCAAACCAGTACCAGGAAATCATCATTGCGGAAAGGTGCTGTAACTTCAAAGCATATATATTTTATCAGTAAAGAAGAATACAAAACTGTTAGTGATCTGGACAAGGGGTAATATATTGTAAACATCTGGTCGTAGTAAATAGAGCACTCACATATGTTGTCATATTGGGCCTAAAGTGGGCAACTATACAACAGAACCCCAATCCCAATCATTATTAAGCTCAAGACTATGAGAAGCTGCAGGCTATATGACATAAGAATCATTAATATTATTTCAAGATTTTTGATATACAGAGGTAATGGTAAAAATATTTTACACACTGTAGACTATATATAATTTAAATCACTTAAGCATTGGTTTTATTCAACTACTTGTAGCTGGAAGCAGTAGTGAAAATTACAGAGAGCAATGGTTCCCTTCTAATTAAAAATACATGTGATGGCATCTATGTTTAAAAGGTTGCTAAAATGACCTAGTTGAAGCAAAACAATATATTTGCTATTATTGTTAGTTTTGTTTTTATTGCTAGTCTGAAATAATGATGCTTTGTAGTATAATAAAATAGAAATATGTTACATACATTAATATCACCATTGAGATCATATGACTGGTCTAACCATGGATAGAATGCATATAAATTAGAAAAAAATGACAAATGTCTGTACTGCGCAGCAGTTCCTTCCACAAATAAAGGGATGAGCTTTGAATTGTTTGCATTATGAATTTGATCTTATTGCAAGAAAGCAAAAACACATAAATTATTCAATCAATGCAATGGCAATCTTTGGTAAAGCCATGGTTGTCTGATCTGATTTAAGTGAGAAATGATATTTCATAGATTCATACTTGTCTGTATGCTGTAGAATATTAATGACCGATTAGTGTATTATGTGCTTCTGCAGACACCAGAGAGCTTATCAAGGCAAGTTCAATGCATATCAAAAGCTGCTGCAGTAATAGAATTATAAATCATTTTTACTCCACTGCCTCTGTGTGTAGAGTGTGTGTCTATGTGTGCATGTGCTTCTGTGACACTAGAGCAGCGTTTTCACCCAGACGGACCTGAATGCACATACATTGATTAGACTTGTGCCTCTGCCTATTGACACTTTTGCCCCCCTATGGAAAAACCTCGTAATTCCTTCTATGAGAAATGCAGGTCACAGATGTTAATTGTAGATTCCAATCCATGAAATAAAACAGAACCCAGAAGAAGCAGAAGAATATATATCCTCTTCTTTACAGTAGGAATGCCCTGTAATGTAACCGTCTTCATACACCAAGTCATTTTCTCTAAAATAACAACTGGATATCATTTGCGCAGTATGAGCGAAAACATTCCATTTGAATTAAACTGAGAAATATGGCACACATTTCAAAAGGCAACTAACATATTTTATGCACATCTAAGCTGTTTACTTAGAGAGGCCAAAAGCTATTCTGTAAATAAGCCCTTTAATGTTTTGTAATTGATTTCCGAAAGTTAATAATCACAGAGCTTGGGTACTAAGATCTCTTCAGAACACTTCACAATCAAAGCCAGAAAAGTATCAACAAAAAGAGAAAATAAAAATCACTAAAAGCCTTTAACCCTTAAAATACCACTGCTGGCAAAAAAGTTGTATTAAATTTTATTTTGAAAATATATTTGATAGCATCAAGCACGTGGAAATAATCTGCAACAACCAATCACTGCCTTAAGAAAAAGTAGCTTTTACTGATTTATGATTGGTTGGCATTGGTGACTTCACGTTATTGCTCATTGTGCTTGTTTAATAAGACTATTTAGATCTGATAAATATGACAAAGCCATTCATACTGTGTAGTATATTACATTTACAGTGTTTTAGTACAACCAAAAATAACAGAGAAAGCTATTTTTGTGTTCATTCACGTCACAATAATGGCAGTGCTTTACATGTGTTAAAATATTAGCGCAAACAACGCTTGAGATCACCAAATGACTACAAACAAACAAAGTAAAAAGATTTTTTAGTTGGTTAAAAGAAATGACACAATGGACTGGATGCTGCCAACATTCGAATGCAATCAGCCAGATGCTTAAGACTGCTGTTTTCTATGGAGTACAGCCAATTAAAGGGCAAAGGCTTCCTTCAAAAGCTCTGTCTTTCCCAACCTCCAGCTATAAGCTAAGAAGCATTTGTTAGATATTTTGCCCTCCCTCACATTCCTAAACAGATAGATTTTATGCTGTCTTGATAAATTCCAACACAAAGAAGAAGAAAAAAAATAACACCCACACATAAATTAAAAAGGAAAGACAGCGAAAAAAAAAAAAAAAAAAAAAGTGTGTGTGCTTGTGTGTGTCTCCCCTTATGGCACAAGATTACTGGTGCTGTGTAGCAGTACAAAACAGTTCACTTGCAACAGAATATTTCTTAATACATAAGGGAGATCTTACAGTAATTCACCACTTCTTAGTTTACCGAATATTGTGTTGTCCAGGAAATGAATTCTTACTGACTTACAAAGAAAGAGTATGAATACGGTTATACCAATCTCACATGCATATGTGCCTGAAAGCAGCATCATTTGTTATGGATTGGAGATCAGAAGGCGGACTATATATGGCAGAATGAGCTTGAAAGTGTGTTTCCTGTGCATTTCAAATGCTTAAAAGGTTCAGTCTCTGCAGAAGACATATTCAGTGTAGCTGGTCCACACTTTGTCCTCACTCTGGTCATTGCTGGCAAATGCACATGTCCCTGTGGAGCTGCATGCCACCATATGGAAGCCAGCTTCAGATAACTTGTCAAAAGCCTGCTCCAGAAAGTTAAACTTAAGGTAGTACCTGGATGTATACCTCTCAGGAGGTCTATCAGGATCCCGACTTTCATTTAAGGTTTCGCCAAACACTTCTTTAGCCAGAGAGGTTTTGCCACAGACAGTGATGCGTGCCACTCTTCTGAACTTAGCATCAGCTTGTGCCTCCCTTCCTATGGTATAGGAACCTCTGTAGCCAACTGTTATATATCCAGATCTTCTACCTTCAAGTGACTGGGATGGAGTGAGGCGAGGAACTGAGGCAGGACTGCAAGAAGAGGATGCATTAAAACGATATGGATCTAAAGTAGGGGAGGGGACCCCAGCTGCAGGAGATGATGAGGCTGGAATGCCTGCTGTGTCCAAATCAGAATCTTGACCTGCTGCTGGTGTGAGGAGCAGAGGAGGCTCTTCACCTCCTATGGAGCTGTCCTTACTGATTCGCAGAGGGCTCAGGCGTTTTACTAGTTCAGGCAACTGAAAGTGCTCAGCTTCTCTTTGTAGGCGACTTCTTTCTGGAAAGTAATCAGGCAGAACAAGCTGCAGGTCTCTCAAGTAATCCAAGATATAACGGAACAAGAAGCCATCCCGGTCAAGGAAGAAACGGCCTTTGCTGTCCCTAGCCAACTCTCCTGGTTTCTGCTGAGAGAACATACGCCAGAGAAGGGAGTCCGGCACTGACACTAAAGTTGTGTGTCGAGTCACATAAACTTGTCCGCCAACATTTAGTTCCACTATTTCAGGGAACAAAACATCAGTGGACATGGCCACTGTGCAACTGCCTCCTCCACCACCTCCATTGGGTAATCCACGTGCAGTGTCTGGCAAAGCCATGGCAGCTGGAAAAGAATAAATGTCTCAGTTATCCTACTCCCCAAAAAATTGTTTGAAAAGGAGATAAAAAGCAAAGAAGAAGTCTAACTACTTAAGTACATCAGCTTTGGATTTAGGGCTTCAAGTATCCGTCTCTGCAGGTTAGCTGCCGAGACTGCAAGATGCAGCAAAGGCAAAGAGCAGACTGCCTTGTTTCCTTGTTCTTCTTCTCCCTGTGTTTCTGATTGAGGAAGCTGGCAGGATCTGTGTTTTTATGTAGAATTGCACACTGGAGGCGTGGGAGGGAGGAGGGGAGGGAGTTACAGAAAGCACAGACACAGCTGATCACATACATAGAAAGGGGATGTGTGCAATTCAGGATTTGCATGTTGTGCAGATGTAACCCTGATGTTTTCAGAGCAGGGAACGTGTACAGTTCTGCTGTTCTCTTACCTTTCTGGATTTTTTCTCTCTCTCTCTCTCTCTCTCTCTCTCTCAATAGCCAGGAAAGTAAAAATAACTTGAAGTTTCAGGTATGAAATGCACATTGTGTCTTCTGACTCAGAATATGTAGCTTCCCACTCTCAGCTGTTCCTGCAGTTGTTAGATTAGAAATATGTCAATGCACAATGTTATTTGCTCTGTCACTTGAGCTGCAGAAATGCTGACATATCACAAAGATCACCCATGCAACACCACCAAAATACATGTCAAGATATGTTCTTCCAGGCATATAATTGATAGGACTGATCTGTACCCTTAATATTACTGAATGATTTATATGCAAATAAGTATGTACACAGAGTCCTACACACAACAGCACAATAAAAAAAGGAGGGCTATTTAAATGACAATCTATATATATAGAGAGAGAAAGAACAAACATAATGAGATTTATTTATGACACAATATAAATCATATCTGCCCATATATCATTACTGTGAATAAAACAAGTAACCTTGCTCTTACAATGTAAAATATAAAATTACAACTTTGACTGCACAGCATCACCTAAAGTCTTTTAAGATCTTTTAGTATCTTTAAAAGTCTAAATAATAATGCCGATATGTCACAATATAAGCTTTAGTCCTCATGCACACTGGACGTTTTTACAGCGGCTGTTTTTGGCTTTAGACTTTTTTTCTACAGCCAGCATGTTATCCTATGTGTCCATGCACACACAGACTGTAATCAATGTTTTTTGGCAGGGATGTTTTTTGGCTGGAAATAAACCCCAGGACTAGTGGGATTCGAGAGGAGTTTTTTTAGCTCTAAAAATGCTCTAACACTGAAAAACACAGCGTTTTTTTTTTTTGCTTTTGATGTTTTTTTCTACAGCCATTAAACTCCCCAGCATGTTATCCTATGTCTCTATGCACACATAGGCTGTAATCAACTTTTTTGGCTGGGACGTTTTTTGGCTGGAAAAAAAACAGGACTTGTGGGTTTCTAGAGGAGTTTTTAGCTGTAAAAATGCTCTATGCTGAAAAACGCAGCGTTTTTTGGACTTTTTTTGACCAAAAAATTTTTTTTGTAAAAAGACGCTAAAAAATGCAAACGCAGAAAAACGCAGCTAAATGCTAATGCAAAAACGCTATAAAATGCTGAAAACCCCACGTTTTTAACGTGACTTTACACAGCTAACGTTACCAGTGTTATTAAAACACCCCGTGTACATGGAGCCTTGCTTTTTATCATTAAAAGCCAGCCCTTGGACTTTAGTTAACCACTTCCATACAGGGCACTGATTAGCTGTGATTTGGCCACAGCTAATAACATGACACAGCTAGGCTGTGATTGGCCCAGCTTGTGCATGTGATCGCTGTGACCATTCACAGCTAGACACACTTGTACACAATGGATGGCATGAAAGGAAGCCATCCATTGTATACAACTGTCATGTGACCTGCTGTGATTGGTCACAGCAGGTCACAAGGTACTGGCAACGGGGCCGGTACACAGATCTGTTATCGGCCATGTCCGAGGTACACGGCTGGTGACAGATCACGCCACTGCGTGGCCCTGCGGGCAGGCCCACTGCGTATACCTGAAAGGACGCCATATGGCATCCATCCGGAGGGACGAGCTGTTCGGGCCCACCGCCATCTGGCTATAGGCCAGGCGGCAACTGGTTAATATGTCTAGGCTGTGATGAGGTCATCAGTTTGCTGCAGGTAGGAGGAAGCATTTCCTCTGCCTCCTCTTCCCCAGTGATCAGACTGCAGCTTTGTAACTTTGTAGGAAGATGAGTGGCTGAAGCTGGGGCTTATCTGACATTTGTGAACACAGCCAAGAACTGCACAGATACCAGAAACGACATCAATGATTATGATATTTTGGACCTAGCATCCCAGTGAATGTTAACTTTGAATAGTGCCCAAACAGAGTAGATGCCTTCCTTCTGGATAATAAAGCCTTGTTCACACAGGGCATACAATTTAATACGTCCATGCAGGCAGTCCTATTGATGTCTATTGTGACATTGCACAGCCACAGCTGCTATGTCCCAAATAGACATCTATGTGGATGCAGGTCCCCGAACTCACACTGTCTGCGTTTGGGGACCAGCACCTACACGGATGCCATATTGGACACAGCGCTGTGACCATGCAGCTGCTGCATCCCTATAGACATCAATGAGACTACCTGCACAGGGGTGTACAGAATACCTGTACAGGTAAACAAGGCCTTGCACAGACGTACGGTATTGTATGCCCTGTATGAACAAATCCTAAAGCTGACAAAGGTGTTGCCAGGGGGAATATTCTGACCTCTATGACAGATAAAAATTACTTACATACTACCCAGCAAGCTTACACTTAACATGGTAAAATCTGATGCTAGGTCTACTTTGACAGTGAGCAAACAACTAAATACGAAACACAGAGTTTAGGTTAACACATGTAAAAGGACTTACCTAGCATATGATTTGTAATTCTGTGCAGGGACTTTTGTGATTTGAGCACCCTTGCCAGAAGGCATACCCAAAACTCCAACCTACATTGTAGCAGCAGCAGCACAGCTGAGTCAATAATACACATCTAGCCTGGTAACTGGAAAATAATGAGCCACAGTACTCCGATGAGGTACTACTGTGCCCCCTATGCTCTCTCATGTTGTCAGCATCTCCACTATCAGCGTATGTGCACTGTGGAGGAGCTTGACTGGCCTCTATTGCTGACCCTCCATCTCCCAATTTGTGTACTTCTGCATGTACAGGGGATCACAGGAAGCTAGTATGAAGACAGATTTAGGTACAAGCACTATCTTAAAAATACCTCCATCAGTCCACAGTCTCCAATTGGCACTAAAAGTCCAGTGTTGAAACTTGTAGTTCTGGCTCTATACAGATATCACAAGAGGCCATCCGCATCCCACATCCTCCATTCAGAAAAGAAACTCTTGTATTCTTTACAATAAATGCAAGGTTTGATTGGAGTGAGATTGTGCCGTTCAGTCATACCCCTCCATTCACAGACTATGGTTAATCCCTTTTTCCCCTACTGCCAAGTACTAGGACTGCAACATCATTTCCTGTTAGCAGAGTGGATCCAGCTCTTCTGACAGCAGAGGATCCTGGGACTTGTGGTCCTATAGCCGATATATACTGTAGTTATGTGTGCTGATTGAACTACATCTAACAGAGATCTGGGGAACCACAAGATTGCTAGGAGTGTGATATATTTTACAGCAAGGAACTGGCTTGCTCTTTTGGACATGATTCATAACTGAACACAATGGTACTGTCAGTCTCCTCCAGAGACAGATTACTGACTACTACTGCTGGACTCTGCTTGCCATGCTAACAGGCTGTCAGACAGTAACTCTACGCTTCTCTGTGAACAGCCAAGAGCCTGTGCAAGAATCCTGCTCCTAGGAGGTTGCGCTATACATGGGATTGGTGAGCTGGAGGATGCCCAACCCCTTTCTGACAACACTCTAGAGATAATGCATACAGATTCCTTTACACTTCAGTACCAAGAGATCTTTGCTTTGAACATTTACCACAGCCTATCTGTTATCTTCATTGAATTACTATTACTCACTATTGTATATGGGCCCCATTGCTAGCAGAACACAATGGATACTATCACATCAGGAACTTTAAACATCTCAGGAATCACGTAGCTATTTCTAGTTAAAGGGACCTCTTCGCATCTAAGCCATTGCTATTCATATCAAGGTGTCTATACCCCATTTATATCATAATATACACTATATTTGCAAAAGTATTTGGACGCCTGCCTTTACACGCACATGAACTTTAATGGCATCGCAGTCTTAGTCCGTAGGGTTCAATATTGAGTTGGCCCACCTTTGCAGCTATAACAGCTTCAACTCCAAAGACATGCTGGTAGGTTAATTGGGTCCTGTCTAAATTAGCCCTAGTATGTGTATGTATGGATGTAAGTTATGGACTTTAGATTGTACGCCCCTTGAGGGTTAGGGACTGATGTGAATGTAAAATATACTGTATTTAGTATTATAGTGCTGCGTAAATTGACAGCGCTATATAAGTACCTGTAATAAATAAATAAACTCCTCTGGGAAGGCTGTCCACAAGGTTTAGGAGTGTGTATATAGGAATGTTTGACCATTCTTCTAGAAGCGCATTTGTAAGGTCAGGCTCTGATGTCGGACGAGAAGGCCTGGCTTGCAGACTCCGCTGTAATTCATCCCTAAGGTATTCTATCTGGTTGAGGTCAGGACTCTGTGCAGGCCAGTCAAGTTCCTCCACCCCAAACTCGCTCATCCATGTCTTTATGGACCTTGCTTTGTGCATTGGTGGGCAATCATGTTGGAACAGGAAGGGGCCATCCCCAAACTGTTCACACAAAGTTGGGAGCGTGAAATTTTCCTAAATGTCTTGGTATGCTGATGCCTTAAGAATTCCCTTCACTGGAACTAAGGGGCCAAGCCCAACCCCTGAACAACAACCCCACACCATAATTCCCCCTCCACCAAACTTTACACTTGGCACAATGCAGTCAGGCAAGTACCGTTCTCCTGGCAACCGCCAA